GTTGGTTCGTCGGTTTGTGCCGAGCTATGCTAGGGGACCTATAAGCAATTTTATATGCCTACACACCTACAACGGTTATTGATGTTAATCAGACGTCGCAACAGCGGCCACGAAGACAGCAGAAGACTTCGGATTCGAGGCTCCAAAAAGAGTACTCATTCAAGGACGAGGACGTTCCAGCCATCTTCGAGACCCTTCTTGAAAACAACAAGATCAAGCTGTCACCCATCACAAATCAGAAGGAAGCTGATGGTACTGCGGATCCGAAGTACTGCGCGTACCATAGGAGGATCCTTCATCCCACCAAAGTATGCTTTACTTTGAAGAATATCATTCAGACTTTGGCTAAAGTCGGCGTTATAATGTTAGGATAAGCCAAATAAGAACGACAACACTCCAACAAGTATAAGAGTATAAACTGCTTCTCAATCCTCCAACCGGTATAAGAGGTTAAACTGCTTCCTGATATTCCAATAGGTATATGAGTCTAAACTGTTTTCTACCATTAACGGGAAGTTCCTGGAGAATTTCATACGTAATATTCTTAAGCATAACCCAATCATGCAATCAAATGCAATGTTAAACTCAGTTTCGCGAAGAAGCTGGGGGTGGATGATTCATATAACGTGAAGTTCCCGGAAGAATACTATATGTAATTTTCTTAGGGATAACCCGATCATTACAAACAAAGTGATAAACACTAAACCCCCACTGTGATTTCCGAACACTCTTTTGCTGAGACGAGATTCGATCACTTCGTTTGATCAATCTTTCCTCACAAAATTCCCATTGGTGTTTGAAAACTCACAGTCTTCCACCACAAAGTCCGCCACCGATCAGACTAATTGACGGTGGGACCACCAAAATTCCTTTCGGTTGATTCCACTCAAACTCATATGTGTTTGTACACTCAACATTTCCATTGTTAAATTCCGGACATAATGCTTGGAATTTTGATCTGTCAATCTTTGACGAATTGTCAAACCCCTTCGTGTTAAGTCCTTATCACTTGACACTAAGAACCCCATCTGAGTGATTTGTACAAGTCAACACCCCCACTATAATTTGTACTCCCACTCCCATTTGGTCAAACCTTCTTACAGTTAGGACCATAACCAAAATCTCCTCTCGATTCCTCTAATTAACGAGAGATCCACAAATCGAGCGATCAAACCTTCCTACAGTTAGGATCATCTTAAACATCCCACTCGGTCAAACCTTCCTACAGTTAGGGCCAAAACCAAAATCCCATCTTGATTCCTCCAATGAACGAGAGGTCCACTTTCAAATCGAGTGATTAAACCTTCCTACAGTTAGGATCATCTCAAACTCCTGCTTGGTCAAACCTTCCTACAGTTAGGACCAAAACCACAATTCACTCTCGATAAACGAGAAATTCATCTTTAATTCGGTAATCAAACCTTCCGACAGTTAGGGTTATCTGAATCTTTTCGATTCTCGGAGTGGAGATCCCACTCTTAGTTTCACCTTTCCAGATTCTAGAGGTGGAGATCCCACCTCGAGTCTCCTTTCCAGCTGAAGATAGAATATAAAATTCTTCTTCCTCAGTGTCGAGAGATAGAATATAAAATTCTTCCTCTCTGATTTCGGGTTCGTCTTTGCCCCTAGAGAAGACACCACCCTTTTCAACTCCCAAAATCTGTGCCTCACAGGTACGGGGAATTTTATCCCAAATCTTAAGTAGGGATAAGTCACCGCCTAACACGCGTTTCCGGTTTAGTCATTCACCGATTGAAGAAGACACCAGAATTCTAGTCTGGGGAATTTTATCCCGAATCCTAAGAAAGGATAAGTCAACGCCTAATACGTGTTGCCAGTTAGTGCTTAACCGCAAAATGGACAAAAGCCCACATATTCAATATTATGACAGGTTGTTATTAATAACATCAAAATCCGTGCTTCACATGCACGGGGAATTTTATCCTGAATCCTAAGTAGGGATAAGTCAATGCTTAACACGCGTTGCCAGTTTAGTCTTACTCCGGTTGAAGAAGACACCAGAATTCCAGTCTGGAGAATTTTATCCTGAAGCCTAAGTGGGGATACGTCAGCGTCTAACACACGTTGTCGGGTAGCCTATTCCCGTAACAATGGCGAAGTCTACGTATTCAAAGTTGTAGCATCAAGTCTAAGGGAGTTCATTCCTTTAGCATAACATCACATGCGGAACGAGCTTAAAACAATCCGCATGTAAGCCCGATTCAAACAGTAATCGGTAAGAGCACGTCAAATCCGTTGAGGGCTGAGGATTTGCCAAAAATCCTAAGTCAACGTCTGATACACGTTGCTGTTTAGTCTTTTCACAGGAGAAAGACGAAGTCTACGTATTCAATATCGTAGCACTAAAAAGGTTTACTCTTTTAGCTTAACGTCACATGTGGAACGGACTTAAACAATCAGCATGCTAGCCCGACTCAAACGGTAGTCGGTAAAGGCCCATCAAACCCGTTGATGGCTGAGGATTTGCCAAAAATTCTATAAATACGAGTCATTGACGCATCAGCTCCGTTAGTTGGTCTCGTGACTCGATTATCCAACAACATTAAGATAAGATCCACACATGCAGATGAATCAGCTTTAACAGTTGGTCCTGCAGCACCGACACTTGGGACCACCATGCTCCAATACCTTAAGAGCTTAAACTGTGTATACTCTAGTAAACGTATGAGTATAAACTATGTCAACGTATGATAATTTAAACCCTAAGGTTAACGCCAGTCAACGCCTAACCCTAGGTCAACGCCAGTCAACGCGTTGCGGTCAAAAAAGTCAACGCACGACGTTCAAAACCATAAGGTCAATGCCGGTCAACGCGTAACCTTAGATCAATGCCAATCAACGCGTTGCGATCAAAAAGTCAACGCGAGTCAATATATCATGACGGAGGTAGTCAGTTCAAAGTTAACTCGATGACACGAGCCAAACTCAATTCATCAGTTTTAGATTTGAGACTTCGACGACGGCCAGACGATAAACGTAGTGTCGGAAGGACTTCAGCTATTCGTCAAAGCATCGATAGACTAAAAATCAAAGGAGTCAAGAATCGAAGCTAACTACAGGTCCTTCACGCTGACTGAAGGTTGGACAAATCACATCCAAAGTATTCCAACCTCTTCTACAAAAGAAACGAGTCTGGAACGCTTTGGAGGGGGTATCTGTAGGCATTAAAAATTGCCTATAGGTCTCCACGAATGACTCAGTGCTAAGAAAAGATGATGAACGTCACAATCTAAGTCACAAGAGCTTGATTGATGTTGACAAACACATGAAGTGGGTTGACAAACTATGTGAAGCAACAGAGTTTCAGAATAATAAGGATACGAACTGAACGGGAGTCCCGCATCGCTTACAAAAGACGAAATGAAGCTCCTATCCTAGCTTAATCCATAATGATCTCATCATCAGAGCTTATAGGTCTCCTCGCCGGCTTTCCAACGCACTTTGAATCACTCAAATTTGAGTTCGAATGAAGAAGTTACGAAGGAAATGGACAAGCGTGCAAAACGGATTATCTCCATTCTTGCTAAGACACCCAAGGGTGTCTCCACCCGGGCAAGGGTGTCTCCACCCGGGCAAGGGTGTCTCCACCCGAATAAGGGTGTCTCCACCCGGACTTCCTGGAGCCTATAAATACAGCCCCAGGGCCTTCATTTTTTAGGATCTGGAATTTTGGAGATTAGACGAAGCCCTGCCAGATTGAAGACTGAAGGTGCACGGAATTCAGAGAGGAGGAGGAGAGATCAGATCGAGTTCTTCAACGCAAGAGAGAGAGATTCTTCAGATCTGCAGTTCCCCCGGGTTCGTTCCTTAAGATTATCCCGTTGCGATAATCTTAAGAAGAGCAATTATCTTGCCGTTGCCGAGATAAGCCCTACGGTTTCTTGATTCCTTCGTGAATCAACGAAGCTCTGCCCGATTTTTTAGTAATCAGATCTGATCAACGGTGGTCCACGGATAAACCCCGGCACAGGCAAAGACACTCACGCAAGCAGAAGATCGATAAACGATCTCCCTGCGTTTGTTTGACAAAGTTATAAACTTGTTTTATTTCCCTGCGTTTGTTTGACAAAGTTATAAACTTGTTTTATTTTCATTGTGTAAGGAGATCTTATAAAAAGATCAACTTTTTATTTTATTCGAGTTTATTATAACGACTAAAGTTGTAATAGATTCGGTAGCAATGAAAACAATGAAGAAATCAACTTTCACCATAAACAGTAGATGTGAATGCAAACAATGGACATGCATGCATATACACATACACGTGAAGGGTTTAGGATGTTTCTCCACACGCTTACATGCATACACGCTGATGAGAAATAAATGAAAGAAAGCCAAAAGAGCAAGGTGGATAAACGTAAAACATTAGCAGGGTGAAAACACTCACAAGTAAGATTTTCTATTTCCTCATCAAGCTTTCTCGTGTTCAAGGAAGCGCTGCTAGAAGCAGCTTTGTTTGATCCAGCAACAACTACCCATGTAAAACAAAAAAGGATAAGAATCCTTTGCACATTTACAAGCAAAACATCATTTTGAAGAGATTTAGCTAAACAAAAGGCAATATGAGATATAAATTACTTTCTAAAGCTGCTGATATAATGGCATCTAAATTGTGCACTATAAACGTGAATAGATTTTGTATGGCATAATGAACAAGAGAATGCTGAGATTAATTTTTCAACCAGGACGATGCGAGGATCATTTATGTCAGTTGGATATCTAACTTTTATCATTAATTTCCCAACACAGTTCTGCGAGATTTAGTTGAACCAGAATCAACGTGAGATATATATTACTTTCTCAAGTTGCCAATATGATGGCTTTTAAGATGTGAAAGTATTTCATTATTGTTGGGAAAATATTCTGTACTACAAGGATGCTATGACGCAAAGCCGATGTTAACAAAATCCGTCACCTATCAGAGTGATAATAATAACCCCTCGTGAGATATATATTCTGTACTATATAAGCGTAGACAGAAAATAGGAACAACAAAAACTAAATCATATTATCAAAGTTATCATATTGATCTGTTATTATATGTCAAACTATAAATATCTCCAATTAACCACGCTGATAATTATAAGCCCTAAGTTCTGCTAACAATCTCATGACATTCATCTATAGTTAGTATATCCATAGTAAATCTGTAATCCTTTGTATCAGTTTTATTCTTGATATATAAATGGCAAAATTTTTAAATTTGAGTAATTTTATTGTGTGGTCCAATTTATTAACATAATCTAGAACCAATACAAATTTATAATTAGCCGTGACAGAAAATATTCCTGAAGTCGTTACATGTCATGTACTATGAATCTAATGCATAATGTTACTTATGCATCAATGTGTGAATAAAATATTAATATGCTACCATTCAAGTTTCAGTAAAAAGATAGCAATAACTAACAAACTCGTTGCCTTCTTTTAGCAACAGGTGTAGATTCTATCAATTAATCAAAGCCAAGCATCATAGTCTGGACTCTTATTTTGTTTTACAGATTACCTTTTCTGCTCTTCAGCAGAGTCATATCTTCCTATATTGAATTGTAGTTGTCATGTTATGGAGATTTCAAAAGGATATTTTATTATATAGCTATAAATTACTCCGACAATACAAATTAACACGTTGAATCAGGTGCAGATACGATAGTCTGGGAATAAGAAACAGATGAAGCATGTAGAGAGAAACATCTCAATGTGAAGAACCCTGAAGTTCCACATGTACAAACCAAAGGACAGATCAATTTGTCAATTGGACTGAGGAGTGAACATCGCAGGACAGGATATATATGCAAGCATATCAAGCAGTAACACTATCAACAATTCCTCAAGAAGACTATCAAGCATATCAAGCAATAACACTATCAGGCATATCAAGTAGTAACGCTACATGATAAATCAAGAATTTCTCAAGAAGACTACTATATTCGATAAGGTACATTTGAATCTAAATGAAGAAACATTCTAAAAATGTCTTCGACCATCTTTTGAATATCGACGATAATTTATCTGAAGTAAAGACTGTAGAAGCAAATTTGTTGAGGAAATTCGACAAGGTACAATTGAAGCTAAATGAAGAAACATTCTAAAAATGTCTTCGACCATCTTTTGAATATCCACGATAATTTATCTGAAGTAAAGACTGTAGAAGCAAATTTGTTGAGGAAATAGGAGCAAGATAGTACACAGACTCTAAACAATATAAGCACGTCATTTTCCATGGACAAGCTAATGTCTTGTTAAAGACAGTGTATTTGATAAAGGCGGTCTCAGTCTCATTATTAGTTACCGAATATTTTAGCTATGACAACAGTGGAATCCTACAATTTCTTCGTTTTCCATATTACATCATTTTCAGGCTTACACCCCTTTCACAAGCCTAGGCGTTGCATGTTTCATTGATCCTATGAAATTCTCAAGTAATAAATGTACTCAAAAGTAAATAAATTATTTAGGAATGATGGAAGTAATATACTGTCATGTAATAGCTGATCGTATGCATATTATTGCATTTTCGCTTATATAGTTATGCTAATAATGAACATCATATCTCATTTCACTACAAATCATTGCCCATGTTCATTCTATGCACTATTTAGTATTTATAGATGATTTCTTGTAAATCTCAAGGTATTATTATGATTAACAGCTAACAAATAGCCAGGACATAGGTATCTACAAACTACAATGAGCTAAATCTACCAACTAATGAAATGGCATCACTTGTTCAAAGAAAATCATAAAATAGAAAAAGAGAAAAATAAATGAAAGATGTAATTATTAAACCATCTAACATATTATAGTTTCCATCATAAATAATGCACTTATAAAAATAAGTTTGTAGAAATTCAAGCAGAATAATTCATTGAAAACAACTGAAAACCCCCCTTTTCAATTTTTCCCTTTTAATATTTCAGCAACTAAAATAGAATATTTTGATGAAAGTGAGAAGAGAACAATATGCTTTACGATCATAATTAATCTACTAAAGATTGCAGAAAAAAATCATAAAACTTTTATTAAATAACTCAAGTAATATATACCAGAAACAAAGCTACATCACGAATAGTCACTTATAGAATTAGTGTATCATATCTTTCAACAACGTGTATGAAAAGTATTGATATTGAACTACCAGCATCAATTCATTCTAACATTGAAACTACAGTTCCCCCCATAAAAGAAATTTAAATTAATTGAAAATATAGTTTATGCAAGGAAATAGAAAGATGCAAGCAAATTGAAAAATATGTAACAAGAAACCAACAACAAAATAAATAAATAGATAAATAATTACCCTCAGTTATGTAACATGAAGATGAATGGATCCTCGTGTAATTCAAATTAGTAATGTTCAAGACCATAACATGATATGGAATAATCATATATTTGTAATGTAAATATAACATCTTAAAACAGAGAGAATTGCTCTGTTTCTCACCAACCTCAACTATGATAAAGGCATTGTGAGCATCACCTCATCAAAAACAAGGATGTATATGAAGAAAGGAAACGTCATATTATTATCATATGTTAATTTGAAGTAGATCAGGGGCAATAAATCTCTCAAGTTGAGATAAATATATAATGCTTGCATGCAACTTCTTAGATACCTAAACATTAGCTTAACATAATAACAAGAAAAAAAACGATTGCTGTATAGAAAGAGCAAAAGATAGTTCAATGACATTTGATCGTTTAAGACCAAAATAAAATAAGGAAGAGTCACGTATCAGAGGTATAAATGGCCAGCTACCTAAGGAACAAATGACTACACTATAAATTACAATACGGCATGAAAATTAAAACAACTAAAAATCATTAAGCTGATGAAAACATTGACTATCTTCAAATGTTAAAATTTTTGACATTGATGCTGAGGCATGAAGACCAAGGCATTTATCTATACAAGACAATGGACATGTTAGGAATAAAAGATGCTCGACATGTTAGGAAGAAAAGTTTTCTCAAAACTTTAAATGAGAGAAGGAATAAAAATTAAGGTACAAGGAAAGAAATAAATGCACACAACAAAAACACAATTCACATAGTCTGAATTGAGACATCCCTTCATGATATACAGATACATAGTCAAGGGTATTATGACAACTATCCATGATAAATTCATACGCCTAGAAATTCTAGCAAAATGAACGCAGCTTCTCGCCTATAAGTTTCCTCCAAGTTATCTTTAAAACTTTTTTGTAATACGAACACCTAAAATTCTAAAAGACACTAAGTTCATATATACCAAAAACACCTTATTGTCATTTGCTAAATGATGAATTCACAAATTAAGAAAAGAGATGAAAAATGGGAGTGGCACACTAAGTAAAAACTGATCTACTGAAATTATGTAAACATAAAAGATGTTCTTCACATTGGGAAATTTATTTTATTAATTAGAAATTAGAAAGGGAAAATAGGTAGTAAAATTACCTTGATAGATGAGTTTTCCAACCAACTTGAAATCCCTAAACCTCCAAGCACTACATCAAAATTAAAAAAGAGGGGAAATTAAAATTATGACATATATCCAGAACTAACTGCAATGCGTAATCCAAGAACTACATAATAAATAAATTCTTGGTAAACCCACTACGTTTTTAATATAATAGAACAGACAGTATAAATAACTCTAGTTTATTTCTAACCCCAGTAATTGAACACAAACAGAAGTGACAAATTCCACACAGGATTATATCAAACCCAGTAATAATGATTCCTGCTTTCGAGTGTGAAATTAAGCATCTAAATATTGCATCAAAGGAATACATTGTCAATATTGCGGCTAAATTTACCAATTTTGTTTACAAGTGCAGATATTTTGGAGGTTAGATCAAAAAAGAAGAAAAATAACATAGAAGAAATTAAGCAAGCATAATAGAATTAAACACATAAGAAAAAAATCCACATTCAGATCAGGAGTAGATCAGAACCAAAATAGATCGGAACCTAAGTAGATCATAAGTGAATTATAGCTACAACCCAACCTTAATTAAGCGTGAACTCCAAAAGCGTCGTCTTTGCTCCATTAAACCTGAAGAACTACGCTATTTATAGAGGCAGGGGGAGAAATGGAAGAATCTGAAGAATCATAGAGGAAGAGGCAGATTATCATATAATTTTTCTAGATAAAGTCATGAATAATGGGGATAAAATTAGAATTAATCAAAATTGAAAGGGGGTAAAATGGGCATGTAAAAATTTTGACACTTGTTTTCTATTTTAGAAGTAGTGTGTATATATATATATATATATATATACTCCCTTTAAAAGTAAGAGTTGAGAAAAATCTTTCTATGGTCAATATTACCCTTAGTTATTTAAAATATTATATTGTTATCCTAATCCATTCTAATTTCCTATCTTCTTTGAATTTATAATTGAATTTTATCCTATCCATAATTAGACTTAACATGTTATTGGATAAAGGAGATACGTTTGATATAATTCAAATATTTTACTTATTTCAGTTTGTAGAGAAATCTAAAAAATATATGTTAGCTAACACCTAAAAGTTTTTAGGCATTGTAAAAATATCCTCTAAATTTTTAAAATTACAAAAATACCCCTACAAATTCAAAAGTTTATTAAAACATCTTAAAAATTATAAATTTTACTTATTTTAATTCAGTGAGAAATCTAAAAAGTATATGCTCACTAAAAAATGAAAGTTTTTTTACATTGGAGAAAGTATATTGTAAGTTTTGAAAAAGGCAAAAACACTCTTAAAAATTCAAAATTTGTAAAAAACACCTTAAAAATTTCAAACATATAAATACACTAAAAACCTACAAATTACACAAACAACCCCCAAAAATTTATGGAATTTGCAATAAACACTCTAAACTTTTTACAAATAGCGAGATAAATCCCTCAAGGTTGTAAAATTTATAAAAATCCTAATAATTTCCTACCTAACAGTACATTGAAATAGGAGTTACAAATATCCCCTGTATAATTTATAATTTAAATAAAGCACCCTTAAAGTTCAAAAAATAACAAACAAACACTCAAAATTCAAAACTTTACAAAAAACACACTGAGAATTTCAAAATCATTAGTAAATTAAAAATATAATAATTATAAATAGTCTATAAACAATTTACAATCTGTAGAAATGGACTATAAGTTTAAAATTTTATAAGAAACCCCTTATATTCATAATTTATAAAAAACACAATGAGAATTTCTAACCTGTAGATACTAAAATGAATATATAAAATTACTAACAACTCCTAAAAAACAAAAAAATTACAAAAATAATTTCATACTTCTTTTAAAAGTATAGGTTTAGGAAAAACTTTTCATGGTCAATATTACACATAATTTTTTAAAAAATAATCAAACTAATTGAAAATCTATTAGATTTGAAAATTTACAAAAAAAAACAAACTTAAAGTTTAGTACATTGCAAATTACCCCTCCAAAGTTTGAAAATTTTCAGTGATTATTTGTAGTTCCTTGATTTTAATAGAATTTTTAATAGTTTTGTGTATTTGTAAATTATAAAAGTTTAGGGTGTTTATTATTACAATTTTTAAAACTTTTGAGTGTGTTTCTTTTGTAGTTTTCTAAATTTAATGTGAACCCACCTTATAAGTTTGACTGTGGTCATTATAATTTTAATATGCTTAATCGATTGACTATATAAAGTATATAAACCATATATTACTTTACTTTCTCGCATGAACTAATATTTGACACTTAATAATTTAAATTATTACTTTTAAATTTAATATAAATAGGAGCTTTAATAACATTTATTTATTTACCTACAAGATAATACAATTTCAATTCTAATTTTTTACTTGAGATTTTATCTATAGTTACGCATATCAAATTAGTAACTAATATAATAATTATTTTTGCTTAAATTAGTATGATCATAGTTGGTCACTCACTATGAAAATATTACATGGCGAAATATATCATAATCTCCTAGCTCTAATTTTACAAGAAAATAATCATTCATATCTTCAGTTTTACTTCTATAATACGGAGAATGAGCTATAAAATTGAATGAGAATATTAGATAATGTAAATATGAGTGAAACCACAGAATGAGCTATAAAATTGAATGAGAATATTAGATAATGTAAATATGAGTGAAACCACAACTAAAAGTTAATGTGAATATGAGTCAAACAATGAGAATATTAGATAATGTAAATATGAGTGAAACCACAACTAAAAGTTAATGTGAATATGAGTCAAACTTCAACTAAAAGTTAATGTGAATATGAGTCAAATCACAACTAAAAGTTTAATGGGCACATTGCATGTAAATTCATATAGAAAATTCCATTGCGAATTGAATGATCATCCATCTTTTAAAGACTTCAAGATACTAATTAATAAACAAAGATACTGTACTAGATCAATGTGTTTATAACTCACAAATAGTAGATCATGTGGCGATAGTCTAGATTTATGGAAACAATAATAATATTTCATTTAAAAGAGAGATTATTGAGTTGATGATCAATCCCGCAAAAAAACATTATTTTCTCTTTTTTATTCTATTTTTATCAATTTTAATAACCATGGTATTCAACCACGTGCACTGCACGTGCAATCTAACTAGTATATATAAGAGGGGGATGCTTCCCCTGCCAAAATGCGTGAGTGTCAATATATATAAAACATATGAATTTCAAATTAACATTCATATATCAAAAGGAGACACATCATATGAAGATGGCATATAAAATGTTAAGTACAATGCTCCACCTGTAAAAGATACACATGTTATAGCTATCATATGAGCAACCACTTAAACCACGTGAAAAAGATTCTAACCCTCATAGAACCAATGCTTACACAAATAGCGCAGAATTGGACCAAATACCAACACATAGATTCAAAAACCACCAAAGTTAACATAGTGTGAGACAGGCATAAATTTGCTACGCAACCACAAGTAAAAATACATAAATTATCATCCATCCCAAAATTTAACCACACAAGTGTTCAAACCCACAAAAGCCTACATAGTTTGAAACATGTTTAAGTTACTTAAAAATATTATAAGCCCAAATAAAAGAACATAAGTTTTTCATCAATTTTAAACAAAGTCAAAAGACAATAAATGAATTGTAAAACCTCAGAAATTTGAATATTATATGATAAATAATAATAAATGTATTATATCGTGATAAATATCATATTTTGATGTTTGAATATTCTAGGAATTGATTTGAGATCAATTCAATGTATATGTGTAAATATATGAGTGCAAATGCAAAAAAACTTGCATGAAGAGAAATCTGGAAATAAATGACTAATTAAGAATTTATGTGTTTCAGCCATCAATGTATTTCGAATCTAGAAAAACTTTAAAGATAAAAGTTGTAGCTCGATAGAATTCCAATGTATCTTAAATCATCTCATTCTGAGGTTAAATGTGAAAGTTATAGCCAAAATTCCAAAAACTGACAGGTTGTTTCCAGATTCTAATGGGTTTCGGGTTTGGGCTTTTTGAATCAGGTTTGCTGCTATATAAACACATGTTTGTGCATAAAAAATACCTATCTTCATCAGAATTCTAAACTCTAGCAGTTCGTACCTTCATCTCTCAAACTCTAACCCTATTTGTGAGTTTTTGGAGAGATCTCGAGGTGTTTATCGAGGAAAAGGAGAGGTTTTGTGGCGTTTTGTTAGAAGAGAGATATTGTGCATGTGTGTAGAGACTCGACACGACGTTTAAGGTAAGATCTCATGCATCCAAACCCATCCCTATAGTTAAATAACTAGTTTAGATCTTAAATTGACGGTTTTCTTGGTGAATCTTAATCCAATGTGTTAAAATTAAGTTTTTTGATATTAAATCTTAAGCGAATGTTAGATCTACATAGTTTTCTTGTTGTTTATGATAGTGTGATCATTAGGAGTGATTAATTTTTTCAATTTTAACTTGTTAATTATTATAACTTATGTGTTAACCCAAACATTTTGTCTAATTGAGATTTCATATTGATTAGAGGTACTTAAAACCCTAGGTTTGGGGTAAACAAGATCTAAAAATATGGATAAATAATTATTATATCTGTTTTAAGTTTCATGCAAGTATGTTTATGCTAATTTTATCGATAACTAGGGTTCTTGTGAAAAATTTGCTTATTTTGGTTGTTAAACTTGATTAGGTTAAATCAAGAGTTTAAGAAATATTAAGATATTTTTTTCTGATATGTAGAAATAAAGTTTTAATCTTGTCATATGATTTATAATGACAAAATACATATTTTTGATGAGTTAAAAGTTCTGCAAGTTCAATGCCTGAGAACCAGTTTTGGTTCTGTCCGGTCGACCGCACACTTAGTTGCGGTTGACCGCCGAGCCTGCCCGCGCATGTTTGTGCATGAGAGTTAGCCAGTCGATCACTGCCTTAGCGGTGGTCGACCGCTGGGTGATCCAGTTTGTTTTTTGAGTGTTGTTTGCGCCATTTTGGTTGTGTTCGCGAAGTTCAAGCCGTGTGATGTTACACGTGCAGTCATGGGCACGTATGAATAGTGTCATAGCACACATATGAGAAATCCAAAAGGGGATTTTTATAAGTATTGTTCATATTGACAAGAATAATGAGATACGTGCACGAACACTTAGTTTATGTTCTTATTTTAGTATACATGCATAGTTGAGATGCATAATATGTGTTTGAGTTGATGGAAAATATAATATCATAAAATAAATTGTTTATCAGTTATTGATACTCAGTGTGGTTGTTTATCCTATAATGAGACCTCGGCGGTACCAAATACTCAAAGATGATTGGTGTGTTTTTTCAGGTGGGCTGATGTGCCTATTTAGCATTGTACAATCATCTAGAAGCAAACCCAAAAATAGGGAGATAAAATCTATTGCCGCAGAACGATTGAGTAATAACGTTAAATCCACATGATATTGTGAGAACCTTACAAAAGTATCGTTAGTTCATATATCCAGAATAGGGAGATAAAACCTATTTTCTCAGAGCGATTGAGTAAGAACCTTACAAGAGTATCACTATTGCATGTGGAGATGCACATATATTTGTGCTTACATTTATAGGTCACACCTATGTTAGATTACCCATGTGTAGGGTACACATTAGATACGTGATATACATGATATGGTC